ATAATAATAATAATAATAATAATAATAATAATAATAATAATAATAATAGTCGGTAATAATCAAATATAATATTAATAATCGTCGTTATCAACGTTTACATTAGAAAAAGCATCTTTTGCAGACAGGAACCTCGAGTTGCTTTAAAAATTACAAATAGTTATTACTTCGCGTTTTCGTTCGACGTCTAACGACCATTATGCGTTTGCGCCCACCTTTCATTCCCCTTTCACCCCCGAACACCCCCTTCAATCCCCCCTCTCTTCTTCCTAATTTACTTTCCACGTATAGTCGGGCAGTACCCTCTCTCTCGTATGATATCATACCTTAGCTTTGTCGTTACCTCGTCGTTGTTACGATCTTTACTCCTTCGTTTTGTTCTCCCAGTTTCTAATTTTTTTTTCTATCTATGAGGTTGAAAATTTTCGGTGCGCGATCCGTACACGTTCTTTTCTCACTCTCTGGTTGTGCGGTGGCACGATTTCCACTCTTCGTTCTCTTCCACCCCCCCCCCCCACATTCACGATTTCCTCTTGTCGTGTTCGTGTATTTTTTTAAAATAATTCGATCGTTTCTTCGCATCCTATGTACGTATATGTGTGTACGTGTGTGTATGTGTGTATGTTCGTATCGTCCGATCTCTGGTTGAAGTGAAAGCATGCTTAAAAAATGAAATAAAACATGACGTACGTACGCGCGTATACACGTGACTGTTTCGGACATTACCCGCGAGGATTCTAGTACGTTACAACATCATATATTTATATATAATATATATATATATATTTATATAATTTTCTACATAAATATATATATACTTTTTTTGTTCATTCATTTTATTCATTTATTTATATATATATATACTTTTTTATATATATATATATACCTATGCATGAGTGTGTCTTGTGTGTCGTCTACCGATGCATATTCTCCCATATTCCCCTTAAAATCTACAGTTTAGTTGTAATTAACCGTTAACTTACGAGCTAGTAGTGGATTCTTTGTCGTTCCCGAGCAGACCTTTACAAAAATCCCGTGTCCGTCGATCGAGAGCTGACCTTTTGTTTGTTTCTTTCTTTCTCTTATTTTTTCCTCTGTCCTGGTTAGCGCCGTGCTGATTTCTTTTTTTTTTCTGTTTTTTCCCTCGTAATCACGGTAACTGAGTTCACGTATGCGCGAACACGCGTTTTCGTTGGGTAAGTCCCGAAAAAGCGCAATTCGCGTCGCGCGATCCTTTACTTTCCGATTCATTTCCTAGCGAGAAAGAACGAAAAATGTTCTTACCGCCGGCGAGATTTTCTCTCGGATCACTTTGGATCAGCACTGCGCTCGATCGCGGTGTCCGGTGCACGGCTGACCGATCTACGATCAATCGTCGACCGATTAACTAGCGATTATCAATTACAGCTATCGATAGCTATAACTATTTACCGTTATTACTATCATTATTATTACTATGTTTATTATTATCGTTAATATTATTATTAATCGTTAGGTTTTTTTTTTTTAGCGTTATTAAATATAATTTATTAAATATAGGAACCATGTTGCTGGGTCTTTGCTTGTGTTCGTGAACGCGAACCGTATCGCGACGGGCACCGGGGCAACTTGCCCTCTTGTGTTTTCCTTTCCTTTTCTCCCTTTTCCTTTTCTCCGTTTCGTTTCATTTCGTCGTTCTGCCCACTCAAAAAATTTACCGTTGTTTTCATACCGACGTTCTTCTTTACGAGCATACTATTTTCACGGCCAGAGAAAAATGAACGGAACTCACGTTGAAATTCGCGCGCCGGCAGCGACGTTTATTACGCGTACTATAGTACCTAAAAAGAACCCAGCCGCGGGGTTACCGTGCTCTGTGGGTGTTTCTCGAAACTATAGAATGGATATTACTAGGCTCGTGTATGCGTGTATGCACGTGTGTACGTGTCACGAGTGAGTGCGTGTGAGTGTGCACGTGTGCGCGTGCGTTTTCTCCCCCCTTTCTTTCTTTCTTTCTTTCTTTCTTTCGTTTTTTTCTTTTCTTTTCGAAGGAAAAATCCTTCCAGCTTCGATTTCTAATTCGATAGATCCTTCGATCGTCCTCCGACACGTGAACCTCTCTGGCCTCTATGTCGTATGTAGTTTCGTATGTTCGTCATCCCTTGCTTTCATCCCTTTCGCGAATCCCCTTTCCTCGATCGAGAAAAAAGAAAGAGGAACTCGCGTCGACATGATTTTTCTTTCGTCTCGTGATTACCTTTCGTTTTGTGTGTTCTCTTTTCTTTTCTTTTATTTTTTTCCTTCTTTTTCTTTAAAGCAAAGGCGCTCGTCTTTCTTTCTTTTTCTTTTTTCTTTTTCTTGTGGTCATCGTCAGTGAAGAACACGTTACCTGGCTCTCGCATCATTCTTAACACACACTTCTTACGCAGTACCACCCATACACACGCACGTAAAAAGAGAAAGAGAGAGATAGAGAGATAGAGAGTGAAGATTCATTTTTTTTTTTCTTTTCATTTCTTAGAGATGAATATGTACGTACGTATTCGTAACGAGCGCGACGCTATTAGTTTCGCGAACGCCGCGCCAACTACCCTACTACGTCGCGTCCTTAAATGTCTGTTCGCTCGTTTTAGTAACTTTTTTTTTTTTTCTTTTGTTTCATTAAATCTTTATTATTACTTTACATAGGAACGTTTAAATCAGCCCACCTCGACGAGCGTCATCACGGCGTCGTCGACGCTCATTCTTTTCCTCTCCTCCACGTGTCATTCCTCTTCGTCGTCTCATCGCAGTTTCCGCGCCGCCATCTTCATCCCGCGAACCTAATCACGCAGCGATTGGCGCACAGTCGTCGCACGGATAGAGACGGATAGGTATCGTTTCGCAAGAACGACGATACCATCGAGAGAATCGTTCGTTTCTCTTCGAGTCGTGCCCAAACTTATCAGTTCGTTTCTCATTTACCGACAACAACAAGCCGATAATCGTCTCTGCTCGTTCGTTCTACTATTTTCCTTTCCCCCCCCCCCATTTTTTTTTCTTTTCACTCGTTCGTTAACGTTAACGTGTCCCCCAATTTCCGAAACATTCTTCATTCTTTCTATCGAAGGAACTTTTGGTGAGCGCGCTGCTTTGGTGGCACGCTACGTGTGTACATACATTGTAACAAAAATATTAGTTAAATTGGTGATTGCGCGCGCGACAGTGGCCGTGCGCGGCCCGAAATTAAAACGAGAGTAGAGAAGAAGAGGTCCACTACACGCGGCATCCTCGTTTCGATTGGTCCACCGTCCACGCGCGAGTATTCGGAGCCGGGGATTCCCCGGTGCCCGGAGCGGAAGAAAATGCCCCTCACCGACAGTTCCTGACCTAGGTTGGAACCCCCTCCCCTTTATCTAGCCAGTTAGGAACGTTGTTTGCTTCTTTCGTTATCTAGTACCTTTCTCTCTCTCAAAGAAGAAGAGCACCCATCCAACACTTTCTCTCCCAGTATCCATTTTCTTCGTTCACCCTTGTGTCCTCCTCTTCGCGTTTCTTCGCTTCTTTTCTTCCGAAGAAATCGTTTCGAATCGGATCGACCTCAGATTCGATGGTTCTCTCTCTCTCTCTCTCTCTCTCTCTCTGTCTCTCTCTCCCTCTCTCTCTCTCTGTGTCGTAGCACCTCTTCTGCGCGACGATCCTCCTCCTCCCACGTTTTCCTCCGTTATTCGCTTCTGTCGTACGGCGGCCGGATGCTCCGCGTCTAACGCGCACCAGCCAAAGCAGCAACCTCTTGGACCAGTTTCTGCCTCTTGACGTCGGGAGCGTTATTGTTGTCCTGGCTCGTTGCCCTCTCGTTAGCCTGCGGCTGGCCCGTGGTGTTCTCGGCGGCCGCGCGAGCAGCTAGCAGGGTGATTTGATTCACCACGTCCTCCATCTCGTCCGTGAGCGGGTGCACCTCCTCGCCGCACTGTCCGCCAGATTCTCCGCCGATATTGCCAAACTGT